TGTTTGCTGCAGCGTCCAGGTCTGGTCCTGAGTCTGCCCCCTGCTCGTGCCGTCGTTTGTCTCACGAGACCCTCCTCTGGCACCACCGCCTTGGCCACCCCTCTCTGCTTCGGCTCAAAGGCATGGCCTCTCGAGTCCTTGTGTCTGGTCTTCCCCGGTCTCTCCCTCCCCTTCCTCCGGGCCCTGGCCCCACCTGTGTCCCCTGTGTCGAGGGGCGCCAGCGTGCTGCCCCTCACTCCTCCCAGTTTCCTCCGACAGAGGCCCCGTTGCAGACGCTTCACATGGATGTGTGGGGCCCAGCCCGCGTCCGTGGACAGGGTCAGGAGCGCTACTTCCTGCTGGTGGTTGACGACTACTCGCGTTACACCACAGTCTTCCCCTTGCGCAGCAAGGGTGAGGTCACTGCGGTGTTGATCGACTGGATCCGCGCAGCTCGTCTCCAGCTTCGGAGGAGCTTTGGCTCTGACTTCCCTGTTTTGCGTCTGCACTCGGACAGAGGCGGAGAGTTCTCCTCTGGCCTCCTGCGTGCCTACTGTCGTGCGCGAGGCATCCGTCAGACCTTCACGCTTCCGGACTCACCGCGGCAGAATGGGATTGCTGAGCGCCGCATTGGCATGGTCATGGACGTCGCTCGTACGTCCATGATGCATGCGGCTGCTCCCCATTTTCTGTGGCCGTTTGCGGTCAGGTACGCTGCGCACCAGATCAACCTCCACCCCAGGGTCTCTAGGCCGGAGACCTCCCCAGCCCTGCTGTGGACGGGGAAGGTTGGCGATGCGTCGGCGTTCCGGGTCTGGGGATCTCGGGCGTTTGTTCGCGACTTGTCTGCGGACAAGCTATCCCCTCGTGCTTCTCCCTGCGTCTTCCTGGGGTTCCCCCCCGACGCCCCTGGGTGGCAGTTTTACCACCCCACCTCTCGACGTGTTCTGTCCTCCCAGGACGTCACGTTCGACGAGTCGGTACCCTACTACCGCCTCTTCCCCTACCGCACTCCGTCCCTCCCCCCACCCCCGCTCTTCTTGGTACCAGGTCCCCCCCCGGTAGTCCCCCTCCCCCCTCAGGGTCCTGCCCCTTCAGGTGTGTCCCAGGTAGACGCGGTCGAGCCTGTCGAGGTCACTGGTGACTCTGGTGCTGCTGCGGGAGCTGAGCCTGGGGGTGCGGAGTCTGGGGGTGCTGAGCCTGGAGGTGCCGAGTCTGGGGGTGCTGAGCCTGGGGGTGCTGAGCCTGGGGGTGCTGTGCCTGGGGGTGCTGAGTCTAGAGGTGCCGAGTCTGGAGGTGCTGTGCCTGGGGGTGCTGAGCCTGGGGGTGCTGAGCCTGGGGGTGCTGAGCCTGGGGGTGACGTGCCTGGGGGTGCTGTGTCTAGGGGTGCTGAGCCTGGAGGTGCTGTGCCTGGGGGTGCTTCGTCTCGCCGAGAGCCACTCTCCCCACAGGAGCTGCGTGAGTGGTTTGCCGGGCGCTGGAGGCGTGCTGCTGGTGCTGGTGGTTCTTCGGCTGCAGAGGGTACTGCTGCTGCGCGCCCCGCCGGCGCTCGTACTGTGGGTGCTGGAGCTGCTGAGTCTGAGAGTTCTCCTGGAGCTGGTCCTGCTGAGGGTGTTGGCGCTGAGCCTGCCGTTGGCGGCCCGACTGACAGTGCTCCTGGTGCTGCGGCTGGAGGTTCTGGAGCTTCTGGTGGTGCTGCTGGAGGTGCTACTGGAGTGGGTGCTCCTGCCGGGACTGCTGGTGCTGTTCCTACTGTTTCTAGCAACGCCGCGCGGCCCCGACCGTACTTCGTTCCGCTCCTGCAGCAGGTTCTTGGTCTTACACCTCCTCCTCCTCCCTTAGAGGGTCCGCAGCCTGTCCGGTCACAGCCACAGCTACAGCCTGCCTCCCCTTTGCCTGCTCCTTCTCCCTACGCTGGTCCGACTGGAGGTCTTACTGAGCGTCGTGAGCCTGCGTCTCGTCCTGTGTCGCCTGTTCGTACTGAGCGCGCTAGTGGTCGCGGGTCGCGTCAGCGTCCTCCTCCTGTCCCTGGCACGCACCGGATGTCACTGCGTCCGTCCACTGCTCCTCTGCGTGCCCCTTTGCCTTCTCCTCCTGCTTCCTCTCTTCCTGCTCTTGCCGACCCGGAGTCGGACGCCCTTCGTGTTGCCAGTCCTACTGTCACGCGTCTCCTGGCTACTGCTGTCACTGACCCCTCCTTCGAGTCGTCTGCTGCGTCTGCCCTTGTCACTGAGCTTGTCGACTTTGCTGCGCGCTGTCGTCTAGACTACGCTGCTCGTCTTGTCACTGAGTCTGAGTCCGCCTGTCCTCCGTCCGTCGGGGGTGAGTGTGCTCTTGGCACGGACGTCCTTGAGGACAGGCAGGAGGAGTTCCAGTGTCTGGCCGCCGCTTCACCTCGTATCGCGTCTGTACTGCTAGCCCCTGAGGGAGACCCGGATGCACCAGACATCCCGACTCCGCGCTCTTACGCGGAGGCGATAGAGGGTCCCTACTCCTCTCAGTGGCAGGCAGCTATGGATGCAGAGATGGCTTCCTGGAAGTCCACAGGCACCTACGTTGACGCTGTTCCCCCTCCTGGGGCGAACATCGTCAGTGGCATGTGGATTTTCAGGGTGAAGCGGCCGCCGGGTTCTCCGCCTGTCTTCAAGGCGCGCTACGTGGCTCGTGGCTTCAGTCAGCGGCAGGGGGTTGACTACTTTCAGACCTTCTCCCCCACCCCGAAGATGACCACTCTTCGGGTTCTGCTACACGTTGCTGCTCACCGTGACTACGAGCTGCACTCTCTCGACTTCAGCACAGCTTTCTTGCAGGGCAGCCTGCACGAGGAGATCTGGTTGCGTCGCCCACCAGGCTTCACTGGGTCTTTCCCTCCTGGTACCCAGTGGAGTCTCCGGCGTCCAGTCTACGGTCTCCGCCAGGCGCCACGTGAGTGGCACGACACACTGAGGACTACGCTCGCGGCACTTGGGTTTGCTCCTTCCACTGCCGACCCGTCGCTGTTTCTGCGCACCGACACCTCTCTGCCGCCGTTCTACATCCTCGTGTACGTCGACGACTTGGTCTTTGCCACAGCTGACACTGCTGGACTCGCCTACGTGAAGTCCGAGCTGCAGAAGAGACACACGTGCACAGACCTGGGTGAACTGCGCAGCTACCTTGGCTTGCAGATCACCCGGGACAGAGCACGCCGCACCATTACCCTGACTCAGTCACACATGGTGCAGCAGGTCCTTCAGCGCTTCGGCTTCACCTACTCCTCGCCTCAGGCCACTCCTCTGCCTACTCGCCACTCGCTCTCAGCTCTGCCTTCGGATGAGTCCGTAGAGTCGAGTGGCCCGTTTGCAGAGCTTGTTGGCTGCCTCATGTACCTGATGACCTGCACACGACCTGACCTCGCATACCCTCTTAGCATTCTCGCACGCTTTGTTGCTCCTGGGAGACACCGACCAGAGCACATGGCTGCAGCGAAGAGGGTGTTGCGCTACTTGTGCAGTACGTCAGGCATGGGGCTAGTGCTTGGAGGGCGCAGTCCAGTGGTCCTCACTGGGCACGCAGACGCTTCTTGGGCTGACGACCAGGCTACGCAGCGGTCGTCACAGGGTTACACCTTCAGCCTTGGTTCCGGCTCTGTCTCGTGGCGGGCTACCCGCTCGTCTTCTGTTCTCGGCTCCAGTTGTGAGGCTGAGATCTACGCTGGGGCTATGGCTGCACAGGAGTTACGCTGGCTCACCTACCTGCTGACCGACCTTGGAGAGCAGGCTCGTTCTCCTCCAGTCCTGTACGTAGACAACAAGGCCATGCTGGCCTTGTGTCGAGAGCAGCGACTGGAGCACAGAACGAAGCACATTGCTCTTCGTTACTTTCTTGCTCGTGAGCTACAGCAGCGTGGACAGCTGCGACTTGCGTACGTGGCCTCTGAGGCCAACACTGCTGATGTCTTCACCAAGGCACTTGCGCCTTGTGATCATCAGCGTTGCTGCACGCAGTTGGGTCTTGTGCCTGTCTTGCCTCACTTGCTCTCCTCTTGACCTTGCTTGTACTTTCGCATATATATACTCTTGTTCTTGTATATCTCTATATATGATCTTGCATGTGAACTGGCCTTGTGGCCTTTGAACTTGTGCTCGGAATGCGTGGTGACTTTGTGATCCACCCTGAGCTTTGCTTTGCTTTGCTTGACTGGTCTTGTGACCCCTTGTTCTCCCCCACTTTGCCTTTGGGGGTGTGTCAGAACTTATAGCTTACTTGTTTCTGTAGGCTATAGTGGGGTATCCCATAGGGGGTACAACCCAATTAGGGTTTCCTATTTGTACTCACTTCGTTCATAGTCATTTCATTCTCGTTCTTTGTTTCACACCCCTTAGTACTCTCCCTGCTCGGAGCTCCCCCGCCCTCGCCGTTTCTACGCGAAGATGAGGAAGACGAGCTGTCGGAAAACCACGAGGCGCTGCTGCCATGCGCGCAAGCGGCAGCGGCGGCGGCGCAGGGGATAACGGCGGGGGGAGGGAATGGCGCGGCAGGGGTAAAATCGCTTACCTTCTGCCTCGCGATCGCTGGAGTTTTTTTCCTCGTCGTAATTATCGGGCTCCTCACGTTTGCAGCTCGGTACTACGTGCGGATACACCTGCGCCGCGCTCGCCGCGTGACGAACGACACGGATTCAGCGGCGGTCGCCGGCGCAGGTGGTCCGCAAGCGTTTGGCGGCGGGCTGGACGCGGAGCGAATCGCAACATTCCCCACATGGCGTTACTGCGTTTACCCCCCCCGTTGCGGATGATATTACCGATATGGGGACAAGATTGGAAAATGGCGAGAAGGAAATCATCGCAGCTGGAGCCGCGACTACAAGGGAGAATGCTATTACCATTGACGCTGCTAACCTGTTACGAAAATCAAACTCTCAAAAGACAAAATCCTTGAAACGAGGGATATTGTTGACGAGCACGGAGTGTACAGTGTGCCTGTAACACGGGCTTATATGAAAACGCCCTTAAACTCACAACAAAGACCCGGGCTTATAAATGAATGCCCACAAAAGGGTCAATAGTAGGCTTATAAAACGCCAAGAATACACACACACCGTGAAAAACTAGTCCTATTAATAGCCTCAAGTCTTGGAAGCTTGATAGGTGAAGCCTTGGGAGAGAAAAGGTAACTTCACCAAGAAGGTAGTAGACGCCTGGAGCACTTGTGAGGGAAAAGACTTGGACTTAGAGAGAAGATCCCATTTCCATTTTGGTTAATTGGAAGTTGGGAGTTGAGAATGAGCTTGGTGAGCTCAATCCCCCCCTAGACCTCCTTGGGGAGCTCCACTTCCTCCATGGCAACAAGGGCAAGGAGCTCCTTGGGGTGAGCTTGCTTAGGTGGCACAATGGTTGGATTAACAACCAATGAGAGCAATAGAATTGTGATAAGAATGGTTATGTTACATGTTGTAACTTGTAACAACAATGTTCAATTGTCATTGGTTGGAATTCCAACCAATGTGGGGTTGGGTTGGATTCCAACCATGCTTGTCTTTTAGTGGGTGGTTGTTCACAATTGTGGACCAATCACCACTCATCTCCTCCATCCTCTTCTTCCCGTAAGTCGATACCTTGCTTAGGTAGTGCTTTAGCTAGGAAACGCTCGTAGGGTAGGAGGGCGATGCGTTACAGTGCCTGAGTGATTTCAACGAGGGCGAGCTGGTTCGATCCGTGCTGCCGTGCGAGCATCGGTTCCACGTGGCGTGCATTGATCATTGGCTCGCCTCCAAGACCACGTGCCCCGTGTGCCGAGCGGACCTCAAATCGCCAGCGCCACATGCGGGTGAAGGCGACTCGGAGGTGGCAGTGAAGGTGGAGAGAGGGGACGACGCTGTCTGAAGCTGTTTTTAATCCCATTGAATACCATTTTTCGGCGATACGAAACGGGATCGCCGCGCGCGCAAGGTCGCGCGTGTGTGCGTATACTTGCGTGTTCTTTTTTTTCTCTTCCTCCGTGGGTCTGTGACGCAGTGGCGATTCAGAATCGGGGGTGGTTAGCCAGCAGTGGTGTCGAAACGGTGTCGAAACGGCATCGAACCGGCTACGGGGAGACGACGGACAGTAGAAAACTTGCTCGTCCGTGAGAAACGTTTTTAGGAACGCTGGCGCATCCATGGCTTCAAATTGATCTGAGAGCGATCTGGTGGTGCAGAAAGCCTTCTGTGAGCTTCTTCCTCTGGCAGAGGCAGAGGAGCGAGTGCTGGCGGAAAAGCAGATGTTCATGTTCGCTAAGAGCACATTCGATTTTCGATTGCTCGAAGGGGTGTGGTGTGAACTGTTGGGCTGAGATAGCCCCTTAGGATCTTTGCAAGGGATAACTCTAGGTGAAGTAGTTGTAATAGCGGAAGCGTTTAGTGAAGAATTTGAACCGACCTTGCACTGGTGTGTGAGAGCAAAGTTGATTGAATTAAACAAGCAAATACAAGGATTTATATAAGAGTACAGGGAATAGATAGATAACTGTATTGCTGTTGCGGTTCGATATAGCGCGACTCGGGCAACTGCTCTGTAACGAGTCAGTTGTGTGTCCTTAACTGTCGCGCTGTAATTGTCGAGTCAAAGGTCAGCGACCTTTGACTTTCTCGTAACCTCCAGGCGGTTACCCTAACCTCCGAGGTTGACTCGATGCTTCGATTGGGACTGCTTCGCTTGGTACCTTGGATTTTGATACGACAGAAGCGCACTTAGGACTTATTGTTTCCAACACTCCCCTTCGCTTCTGGAGTGTTACTGCTGGTGACGTGGCCTTGTCCAGTCAGCATCATGCAGTATTCGAACTTCTGCTTGCCGAGTTTCTTGGTCAAGTAATCGGCTGCCATCTCGGATGTTGGACAGTATGACAGATCGAGTTTCCCTTTTTCTATCTCGTCCTTCACGAAGAAATAGCGCAGGGCGATGTGTTTCGTCCTGTTTGCGAAGCCGTTTTTGTTGGCGATGCGAATTGCTGACTGGTTGTCGCAGAACACGGTGAAGCTGGGTAACTCGGCTAGCTTCGCTTCTTCCAGTAGTTCGCGAAGGTAAAGTCCCTCCTTGGTGGCTGAGCAGAGTGCAATATATTCTGCTTCTGCTGAAGATAGTGCGATTAACTCCTGCTTGCTCGACTGCCAGGAGATAGGACCGATAGGCTCAAGGCGGTAGACATAGCCGGTGCGTGAGCGCCTGTTGTCGGTGTCGCCGGCGTGATCGGCGTCGACGTAGCCGATTAGCTTAGTCGGTGTAGCTGCGCTCTTGTGGTAGGTTAGCCCGATCGTCGCGGTGCTGACGAAGTAGTGGAGAGCGCGATCAAGTTCCGCCAGGTGTTCAGCTTCAGGCTTCTTGAGATAGGTGGCGAGCTGACTTGCGGAGTAGGATAAGTCAGGACGGCAGGTGACGGCGGCGAATAGCAGGCATCCGAGCTTCTTCTGATAGTCGCGTATGCCGGCGGGCTTGAGTAGAGTAGTTCGTTCCTTCTCGGTTCCTGATGTGTAGCGGTAGGGCGTGGAGATGGCGCTTGGTGTGAGGCTGAAGCGTTTCGCGATGGTGTCGGCGTATTTCTCGGCGCTTAGATAGATGGCGTTTTCTTCTTCGCGGATGTTGAGCCCGAGGTACTGTGTAACGGTGGAGGAGACCGTGAGCGTGAGGTCTTTCTGGAGCTCTCCTTCGAACCACGTGGCGATGCCGTCGGTTGACCCAATGTAGAGGAGATCGTCCACGTAGACGATCAGGAGAACGTAGTCGCTTCCTTTAGTGAGGCGGTACATGCCTTGGTCGTGAGGTAGTTGACTAAAGCCGATGCGGATGAGACGGGCGTGCAGGTACTGCTGCCACAGTCGCGGTGCCTGCTTGATCCCGTAGAGCGACTTAAGTAGTTGACAGATTCGGTTGGGTTCGCCGTGGGAACCGTGCGGGAGCTCGACGTAGATTTCTGCATCCACAGGTGCGTAGAGGAAGGCATTCGCGACGTCGATCTGCCGTAACTTCTTCTTCTTCATGGCGGCAATGGCGAGGATAATTCGGAGTGACGTGTGGCGGCTGACTGGAGCAAAGGTCTCGGTGAAGTCTCGTCCTTGCTCTTGGTCGAATCCACGTACGACCCAGCGTGCTTTGAATTTTTCGATCGTGCCGTCTGCTTTCGTCTTGATGCGGAAGACCCATTTCCCGGTAAGGATGGTTTTGTTCCGTGCCACGCTTACGGGAACAACCTTCCAAGTGTTGCGTTCCTCTAATGCCTTCAGTTCTCTATCCATGGCTTCACGCCATTTCTCCCTGTGTTCCCCCCCCAGAGCCTGCTGAACCGTTGCAGGCTCCTTAGGAAGCGAGCTGCGTGTGTTCCCGTGGACTGCGGTGACGAGGCCGAGGATTTGCAGCCCAGTCTGTGAGTATCGAGGGAGTTCTGGATCCTCGGGATAAGCTGCTTCGTCTCCCGTTTCTGGGTCGGGCATGAAATTTGGCCCTACCCTTTCTGCTTCGTTGGTGTTGACTGTCACAGGTGTTACGTAACCATCGTCGGCGAAACGGTAGAAGATTTCGGCGTTGTTACTGTCGCGAGGATTATCCTCATCCATGGGCACGTCGACGGAGCAGTATGGGAGAGGTCCGGCTTCTTCTGAGGCGTTGTCGACGTTCTGTTCATCCCAGTCTGCTTCGTCCGCTGCTGACGCGAAGGCTCGGTCACCACGAAAACCACTGGTGAGGTCCCGATTCTCGTGCAAGTTGGCGAGGTACGTCTGAAGGGTGAGTCTTTCGTAGAAGATCACGTCACGTGCTGCTACTGTTTCCTTTGTGTGGACGTCGAAGATTTTCCATGCGTTGTAATTTTTCTCGATGCCGAGGTGTAGTCCCCACTGTGCCCGTTACGAAAATCTTCCCGCTCGTGCTTCTGGGGGTCTGTACTGTACCATGCACCCGAAAACTCGTAACATTTTCGTGCTGCCCTGCTTCCCTGTCCACAGCAGATGCGGTGATGCGTTGTTCGGGAGTGACGACGACGACAACAAGTTGTGTAGCATGACAGCGTGGTCCATTGCTGCTGGCCACTGGTGGTTGGGTAGCCGCATGCCACGTAATAGTTTGCGCATGCTGTTCTGCAGGGTCCTGTTCAGTCGTTCTGCAACACCTTGCTGCTGATGTGCGTAGGGAAGGGAGAGGAGTTGCTTGATCCCCCTTTCCGCCAAGAACTGCTTGAAGCGGTGAGAGGTGTACTCGCCACCTCCGTCTGACTGGAAATTTTTCAGTTGTGTTCCAGACTCTCTCTCTGCTATCGGTAGCCAGGCGGCGAATGCTGCGAGCGCCATGTCGCGGCTGGGTAGGTTGCGATGCCAGACGTATCGAGTGGCGGCGTCGATGAAGGTGATGGTGTAGTTGTAGTTGACTTGTCCTGGCTCGCGATTGTAGAGGATGTCGCTGTAGACTTTTTCGAGTGGTGCGTACGCTGGAGCGCTCGGGTTGTGATGTGAAGCAAACGGTCGATGAGGTAAGTCAGCTTCGGGACATATAAGGCAAGTCCCTCGTGCCTTCTGGAGTTCTCTGCCATCGGGTAGAAGTAGAGAATCTTTGTCAAGGACTCCTGCTCTTATCGTGTTATTCAAAACCGTGTTGCTTGGATGTCCTGTTCGTGCGTGCCAGATCTCTTCAGAGGCGCGGTGTCCAGGTGAACGCTGATATGCGTCGGAGTTGGAGTAAAAGCTGGCGACGAGGTTGGCGCTTCGGTGGACTTCACGTTGAGTCGGATTCAGCTGTTTCGCGGGTGTTGGTGGTGCTTCGTCGACTATGACTGGTGTCGTTGTTCCTGCTGCTGCTGATGTTGTTGCTGCTGCCGATGTTGTTGCTGCTGCCGATGTTGTTACTGCTGCTGATGTTGTTGCTGCTGCCGATGTTGTTACTGCTGCCGATTGTCGAATTGTTGCTAATGCTCGTGTTCGTTCTGCTTCAGGAATGATGTGCGAGTACCAGAAGCCTCCTGGGCTGAAGTCGGGGTCGAGATCCGGAGGGTGTGTCCATGGGGGTCTCGGTTGACGTTCCTCTTGGTCTTGTTGCCGTGCCTTCTTCTGTCTGCAGGCCAGAGGCTGGCGGTGGAGTAGGAGTAGTGCCCGAGGAGCCATTAGGGGAGCTCCTTTCCTTGTTTGTTGCCATGTCTTGTAATGATATTGAAAAAAGAGTAGAGTTTCCCTTGTCTGCTCTCATACCATGTTGGGCTGAGATAGCCCCTTAGGATCTTTGCAAGGGATAACTCTAGGTGAAGTAGTTGTAATAGCGGAAGCGTTTAGTGAAGAATTTGAACCGACCTTGCACTGGTGTGTGAGAGCAAAGTTGATTGAATTAAACAAGCAAATACAAGGATTTATATAAGAGTACAGGGAATAGATAGATAACTGTATTGCTGTTGCGGTTCGATATAGCGCGACTCGGGCAACTGCTCTGTAACGAGTCAGTTGTGTGTCCTTAACTGTCGCGCTGTAATTGTCGAGTCAAAGGTCAGCGACCTTTGACTTTCTCGTAACCTCCAGGCGGTTACCCTAACCTCCGAGGTTGACTCGATGCTTCGATTGGGACTGCTTCGCTTGGTACCTTGGATTTTGATACGACAGAAGCGCACTTAGGACTTATTGTTTCCAACATGAACCAGCCCATTTTGTTGCGGGTTTCTAGTCCACAGTAAAAGTTCTCTTCTTTTCTGAGATTCAGATTTCCTGCTTGTGAAATCAGATATGGTATACACTAACAACCCGTAAAGGTCACGAAATAGATGTGAAGCTGATCCATCCTGTTGCAGATCTTGGAATCCTTCATGTACCTACGACATGATAAATAAAATTATGTACTGTTGTCCTGCTTGAGGAAGAGCTCCACTTGATTACACAGCTAGTGTACCACAAAACGCTACACAGGGAAACTGCTACTTGTCCCCCCTTCCAAGTGTCTCACTTTGAAGGGACTAGAATTTAACCCTACTCATTTTTCAGACCTGTCTTCTCTGCCCGTAGTTTCTGCAAGCATTACGGAGACAGGAAATCAGATCAGCCAGCACTAGTGAGCAACAAAACAACGAACCCGAGAAACAAAGGACGAAGGGGTGTAACATAGAAGGCAAGATACGCTGCTAGCCCACAGATGGATAAAATTTCCGTATCAGATGACCAACCATTCAATCATCACACCATACCATAGTGGCATAGCAACCAATCCACGTTCCTAGGGTTGGGATGCTGAAACATGCAAGCCTTTTTTGGATGAAGCCTCTCTGCAGTTACTCACTCAACCCAGCCTTCCCTGACCCCTGGAACAAGTAAAGACCCCCCCACCCCCCCCCCCCCCCGCTTCCCCTCCCAGAACGGCTCACCTTCATCTTGTCCTCGGCTGCCACCTTGGCATAGTAGCCCTGCAGGCATGGCACACAGGGGTGAGCAGGATATAGGGGAGAGGCGAGAGGAGCAAGGAGAGTGAGTTTTGAAACGCCTCAGTAATCCACCAGTGAAATTCTTGCCTTCACCTTGTCCTCGGCTGCTACCTTGGCATAGTAGCCCTGTAGGCATGGCACACAGGGGGTGGGTGGGGGTGCACGGGGTACATGAGAGAGGAGAGAAGAGGATGGAGAGAGGGCAGTGAGTTTCGAGATGCCTCAGAGCTCCCCCAGTGAGCGGCTCACCATGCTCTCCTCCGTAGCCACCTTGGCATAGTTGCCCTGCAGGCATGGCGCACAGAAGGTGAGAGGGGCGTGTGGGAGAGGAGAGAGGAGAGGGGAGAGTAGGCCTTAAGTCGCCTCATAACTCCCCGAGTGAAATTATCACCTTCGACTTGTCCTCGGCTGCTACCTTACCGTAGTAGCCCTGCTGGTAGGCATGGCACACAGGGGTTGAGGCAAGGGGAGAGAAGAGAGTGAGTTTTGAAATGCGTCAGGACTCCCCCAGTAAAAGGCTCACCTTCATCTTCTCCTCGGCTACCACCTTCGCATAATAGCCCTGTTGGCATGGCACGCAGGGAGTAAGGGAGGGGACGGGGAGAGAAGAGCGAGCTTTGAGATGCCTCAGAACTTGCATAGGGCGTGACAGGCCCAGAGCTTGCTCAAAGCACCGTTCTTGACGACTGGAGGTGACAGGCCCAGAAGCACCGTTGCTTGCTTCAGAGCCTGGACATATTCCTTTCAACCAACGTTCTCAGCCTCTAAAGCTGTAAGTAGAGGACTTTTGAGACGACTCAAAGGTTGTGGGTGATAGCCCGAGAGATTATCCAGACCAGCTACTTGCATGTTCCTTCCAATCAACGCTTTTCACCTCTACAACTGTAAGTAGTCCACATTTATGCGACTCAAAGGCTGGGGTTGGCAGCTACTTGCATGCATGTTTCTTTGAAGCAGGGCATCTTGCAGTGTTTGCTACAGCAGCTGCTGGTTTGCTTTGAGCTGCAGAAGCATGTGGTGCTTGCACGTGGTGTTTGCATGTGGTGCTTGCACGTGGTGTTTGCATGTGGTGCTTGCATGTGGTGCTTGCATGTGGTGCTTGCATGTGGTGCTTGCATGTGGTGCTTGCATGTGGTGCTTGCATGTCGTGCTTGCATGTGGTGCTTGCATGTCGTGCTTGCATGTGGTGCTTGCATGTCGTGCTTGCATGTGGTGCTTGCATGTCGTGCTTGCATGTGGTGCTCGTGTGTGCATGCCCAATCGGATTACCATGCACCTCCAACTGAAAACACTCAGTTCCAACTGCCATTGGTAATGGTTCCTGCTCATGAGCGCTTCAAGCGTGCATCTCACCTTATCAGTGCCGTAAAGCCAGTCACAGATGGTGAAGATGGAGGCGAAGTTGCAGTGGCTCTCTCCCCCCACCTCGTGGTGGTAGTCGTGGAAGCGAGGGCCCCCGTAGAACGGGATCAGGCGCGTTGGCGACCAGGGGAAGTCGTACCTGGTTGTATGATACAGGAAAGCAAGGAGAGAAGGAACGAATCTTGAAAAATCTCGAAGCCAATCCTCATGGTGGTAGTCGTGGAACCCGTCGAACGGGATCAGGGGAGTCGGCGACCAGGGGAAGTCTCCCCACATGCCATGCCTATTTCTAGCCTGTGTGTCTCTCCCAGCTATCGCAGCAGCACCCACACTCACCAAATCTTCACGTGAATAGCGCACTAAAGCAATCTCCCCACATGCTACGCCTATCCCCACATGCTACCCACCCACTCCCTCTCCCGCTGACTGCTCACCCTGAGTGCGTCTCAATCACCTCCAGCTGTCGCAGCAGGATCCACACCCAGAGCAGTGCACCAAGGCAGCCTCCCCCCACACATGTCCGCAACCAGCCCAGCCCCTCCCCTCGTCTGTTTTTGAGGCGCCTAGAAAAAAGGCGCAGGCGCAGCGCTCACCCTGAGTAGGTCCCAACGGCCTCCTGCTGCCGCAGCAGGATCCACGCCATCAGAGTGACCACGTGGACGAAACACCAAGGCAAACTCCTCACATGCCACCCGTGCCCCCCATCTCATGCCCACAAGGAGCCCTTCCCTTTTCCCCCAGATTCCCCTTTTCCACCCCTTTCCCCCCTATCCCCCAACCCCTCCCCCCTTCCATCCCCCTCTATCCCCCCTCTTCTCTCCCCCCTTCTACCCACCCACTTCCTCTGCCCTGAGTGCGTCCCGATTGCCTCAAGCTGCCGCAGCAGGATCCACACCCACAGCGTGACCACGTGAATAGAGCAGCAAGGCAATCTCACCCATGCCAACCTCATTCCCAATCTGTGCCTCCACAAGCAGCCCTCCCCCCTCTCCATCCCCCCCCAAAGCCCTTCCCCACTCCACCCCACTCTCCCACCATCCCCCCACTCCCTCTTCCTCCTGCTCACCCTGAGTGTGTCTCAATCGCCTCCAGCTGCCGCAGCAGCATCCACGCCCACAGCGTGACGCAACAAGGCGATGTCTCCACATGCCACCCCCCCCTACCCTCGCCTGCTCACCCTGAGTGCGTCTCGATGGCCTCCAGCTGTCGCAGCAGGATCCACACCCACAGCGTGACCACGTGGCACTGCACGATCGCAGGCCCCACGAGCGTGGGCACGCCCAGCAGCAGCACCTCGATCCAGTGCGCGTACGTGGCAGCGGCGCTCATGGGTGACGTGTACTCGTGGTGCTTGTAGTGAATGTGCTTGTAGAGGAGCGGGTGGTGGAAGAGGCGGTGGATCCAGTAGTTGCCGTAGTCTTCTACGAGAAGGAAGACGAACAGCTGTAAAGCCAGCGTGGAGAGCGTGGGGAGCGGCAAAGACGCCGTGATGCCTGCTAACTGGTCGCATACGGAGGGGGAGAAAAGGGAGGGGGGGATGGGATGGGGGAGCGGATAACGGATGGAAAGAGGGAGGGGATGGGCGAGGGGGTGGGGGAAGGGGAAAAGTTCTATGAGCGGAAGGGCATGGGAGGTTTTGGAAGAGGCGGTGGATCCAGTAGTTGCCATAGTCTTCGATGAGAAGGAAGACCAACAGCTGCAGCGCTAACGTGGAGTGCGTGCGGAGCGGCAGCGACGTCGTGATTCCCGCTACCTGATGGTACAGGGAAAGGGCGAAGAGAGGAGGGAGGATGGGAATTGGGAGAGGATAAGGGGGGGAGATGGGGGAGGGGATGGGAAAGGGGATGGGGAAGGGGATGGGGAAAGGGATGGGGAAGGGGATGGGGGAAGGGTTGGGAGAGGGGGTGAGAGAGGGAGTATAGACGGCGTTTGGTACTATAGGAGATGGGGGAAGGGATGGGAGGAGAAGGTCGAAGAGGGGAAGGGATCGGGGAGGGGATGGCGGAGGGGATGGGGGAGGGGATGGGGGAGGGGATCGGGGAGAGGATAGCCGTATGAGCGGAAGGGCATGGCGGAGGGGGTTGGTTGGGGAGTGAGCCTGTGTTGCACGCCATTGGAGCAAGGCGGGTCCAGGGGACGGCTTTTGAGGCGCCTCAATAGGGGACGACTTTTGAGGCGCCTCGAAAGGGGTTGGTTCGGGGAGTGAGCCTGTGCTGCGCGTCATTGGACCAAGGCGGGTCCGGGGGAAGGGGGCGCTTGACAGGTGAATCAGCGCAACTTTATGGGGCAAAGGGGGCGCGTGAGGGGTGTCAGCACAACTTTATGGGGCAAAGGGGGCGCGTGGGGGGTGAATCAGCGCAACTTTATGGGGAAGGGGGGTGCTTGAGGGTGGATCAGCTATGGGGAAGGAAAAAATCAGTTGGCGCGCAGTGGAAGAAGGATGTGATTGACGGTGAGATGGCAGCCTGAGAGTGACACTACGAGAGCAGCTGGGTGAACTAGGACTGGTACCTTGAAGAAAGGATAAGGGAGCAGCTGAAGGGACCGCACCTTGAAGAAAGGATACGAAATGAGCTGAAGGGAGCGCACCTTGAAGAAAGGATACGAGAGCAGCTGAAGGGGGAGGATCGTGGTGACCATCACGCCGATCACGTCTTTATAGCACTTCCACGTGTCGGCCAGCGAGTGGGCCACGGCGGGCTGTAGGCGGTACTGCTCGAAGAAGGGCAGGCGGAGGTAGTCTAATATCGCGTACGGCAGGCACGCGACCGTGTAGAGAATGACGAGCAGCACTACAGTGCAGCAGTACAGCTGGTAATCCGCCACGCCGCGCGTCGCTTCCAGCCACACCGCCTCCGCTGTCGTTAGCGGCCGGCCTAGCATCTGCGCCGCCTCTGCTGCTGTCATGTTCAACATCGCTACGACCGGATCGGCGTGCGAAATTAAATATAGTCTGCACTGAGACGAGGAGAAACAGCAGAGTTTCTAGTAACTCGATCTGTACCACTGTATTTTATCAATGTACACTGTAAGGACGCGAGTGGAGGAGCAGGACCGATCGCTCCAAGGTAGTTCCGAAACGGAGTTGAAATGGTTATTCACGGTGCAAAAAGGTTACGCGTGGGTAGTGCGGTGGCAGATTAACTTGAGCCTTCGATTATCGATATTGCCTGCATTCTTTGTAAAAATCTCGGGATACCAGTCCCCTGGCTCCTACTGCTGACCTCGACTAGACTGGGAATGATAGTTGGACTCTGCGATTTTTAAGATCGAGTTGAGATAGCCTTGGAATTATACCTTCTCTCTTGGCTCAAACTGTCCATCGAGAGTTGGAAAGCCAGTTTTCATGGCGGCGAGCGAGGTGGTGAGGAGCGACAAATCTGACAGAGAACGAGACCCAACAATCCAACGACACTGTTGGCGACACAGACGATGGTCAACGAGGGTGGTGTGGTGTGGTGTGGTTTTGTATGTTTTGGTACGTTCTGCTGTGTTTCCATGTGGTGGTGGTGTGGCGAGAGAGTCTATCACGCAGAATCATGAGTCGTGCCCTTACAGTTCGCAAATCTAGGTGTGCTGTCACGGCTGTGGTGGAGAAGGCAAGGTGTTCTCCAAAGACCAAGGAGCCAATACGCATGCGCCACGCACTTCCAGCACAACCTCGAACTATGGAGCTGGAACTTAATGAGTTAGGGCGTATCCCTGGGTGGTGGCAGGGCCCCTTTAGATGGCAGAGTTGGTGGCATGCGGGAAACCGCATGCCACCAACATTTTTAACGAGACGCGAGCGACTCGTATTTGGTGGCATTGAAGTGACATTTTTGGGACATTGCCCAATCACGCACCTGTATTCGCGCGCCAAATTTCCTGACACCAACCTGGCGTTTTATGTGTTCGTAGCAGGCTGCCATCTACAGTGGCCCTGACACCACCCAGGGATACGCCCTTATACGTTATTGCACACCTATTCCACTAGACAATCGGGTCTCCAAGACAATCGGCAAGACGAAGGATTGGAACGTTTGAGAGTGGTTCTGGGTGTATTGAATCAAAACGACCACTGAAGATCAGCGTTGCCCAATCAGCTTGCAAATCCCTCACACCAAAATCTGGCTGGATGTGCTGCTTGGCTCAATGACGACGGGGCGAAGTGTCGCGAAGACAAATTCAGCACCTCGCACACACTATCGCCAAGCTCACCACCAGTTGAGCACAACCCACCAGAACCCCGCAGAGTGTAGCCTCTTCCCTATTGGTCGAGCTCGATTGCCTGGATTCCTGATGAGCAGGTGAGGGGATTTCGGAGCGTCGGGCACCTAGCATGCGCGCGATCCGCGATGACACTGCATCCAATCGCAATCGCCTCCAACAACGCCTCCAGTCTCCTCCACCTTTCTCCCTCAGACCTCAGGTTCAAAAGAGTCTGCAATCACGAGAAGCTCAGCAGTCAGCCACACTCATCCACGAATCCCTACAGCAGCTTATTTTTTCGACGACCTTACACATCCACAATGGCTGCTCTCGCTAACGCTGCTGTGCTCCCTTCCACCTTCGTCGGCCAGAGCGCTGAGCTCGCCGCCAAGGTGAACAATGTCGAGGCCCGCGTGACGATGAGGAAGACCGCCAAGGCGGCTTCCAGCAGCGCCTTCTACGGCCCCGACCGCAACCTGTTCCTGGGCCCCTTCAGCTCCCCCCCGTCGTACCTCACCGGCGAGTACCCCGGCGACTACGGCTGGGACACGGCGGGTCTGTCCGCTGATCCCGAGACCTTTGCCAAGAACCGCGAGCTTGAGGTAAGGCTACCAGATTTGCTAACGACACAAAGGAGGTACATTACGTACGCAAGAATATTCATCGCTAAAAGGACCAACCATGAGATGTTTCACCCTGTTAGTGTACAGAAATTACCAAATGCTATCATCTTTGCTGCTTTGCAACGCTCGCTGTTTTAAGGTTCTGACGATTTTTTTCTCTTCCTTCACCTGTTTCTAAATCTCCAGGTGATCCACGCTCGGTGGGCTCTGCTCGGCGCGCTCGGCTGCCTGACCCCCGAGCTGCTGGCCGGCAACGGCGTGAACTTCGGCGAGGCCGTGTGGTTCAAGGCCGGCGCGCAGATCTTCTCCGAGGGTGGCTTGGACTACCTGGGCAACCCCAGTCTGATCCACGCGCAGTCCATCCTGGCCATCTGGGCCACCCAGGTCATCCTCATGGGTGCCGTCGAGAGCTACCGCGTGGGTGGCCTTGAGGGCTTCCAAGAGGTTGAGGACCCCCTGTACCCCGGCGGTGCCTTCGACCCCCTGGGTCTGGCCGACGACCCCGATGCGCTTGCGGAGCTGAAGGTGAAGGAGCTGAAGAACGGCCGCCTCGCCATGGTGTCGATGTTCGGCTTCTTCGTGCAGGCCATCGTCACCGGCAAGGGCCCCCTGGAGAACCTGTCCGACCACCTGGCTGACCCCACCGTCAACAACGCGTGGGCCTATGCCACCAACTTCACCCCCGGTGCTTAGTTAAATAATCCCTGTACATTTTTTCACTTTCATTAATAAAACGTAACTTCTCTATGCAACTAGGAAGTACTTCTTGTTTTGCACCATTTACTCATGGGAGTCTGAAACAAGATACCGTATTGTCAAAGACGCGTTGTTGACAGTAGCTGGTGGCATGTTACTTCCTCCAACGCGAATTATGCTCTATTGGAAGAGTTACAAGTCAAGATGATGACTTCGCAATATCGTTTTTTTTGTTTGTCTGGTACCGCAAAGCGAGTCAGTGAAGAGCAAACAAGGTTGCTCAGACTGAAATTGGAGATGTCGCCAAGCTCACAAGTGAGAAGATTAACCTCAGGAGACGAGACATAGGTTTCCAGACTGCACCAGTTCGCTTAGCTTATCGCTGAGTTTGTGGTTGACTGTTCGCAAGTGCGGAAACTACATAGTTCACGACTGCCCACCATGCACCGTAAAGTAACGAACAGCAACGCACCAAGCCTTTCGCAAGTCAAAACTAATGTGATGTGTGCTCAGTTGCCCACCTCTGACGAGATAAGTGCTGTCATGGCGACTTGTCTGTGCACGTTGGAAATTGTTCGGGCTCCGACTTCTTGACTAAACGATACAATCACAGAACCAACCGCAATGTCACTCGGCTCCCTCATCCCAGCACACCCCACCCCAGCTTGCCTCATCCCACCACGCCCCATCCCACCACCGATACACCCGCCATAGGCACACCTCTAGGGAAGCTGAGTGATGTAGTATAAACCGTGCCCAACCCACACACACCCCAGAAAACATCCACTTCTGTTTGATCTGACCCCACAATCGTCGTGTGGTCCACACTTGCTCCATTTTGGGTGAGGTGATGAAAGCGACGATGGGAAATCGAGCAGCATGCTCAACCAATTAGATTGCACGCCACGTCACAGGAAAAACGAAATCACCACATTTCATGGAAACGTGTTTCCTTGGCGTTCGCTTAGCTTCGCAGCATCGGCGAAATACGTACTTTGTTCCACAGACTTTCATCGCACAGCCTAGCGAAACAACCGTGGTGCAACCACACCGACACCACAAAACAACATCAGATGGTAACCAACCAGGGTCCTCGCAATTGGTTGAGCCCTGATTGCGTGGATTTTGGGTGCTGAGGAAAGGAGATCTTCAGGCGTCAAGCGCGGTTCGTACTCAGATACCATCCAATCAGAACGCTCCTAGACCCATCCATGACTCCATCCAACCAGTTCCCCCACACGCAATTTTGGTTCATAAGTCGCTAGAGAATCGATTCTCAGCAGAAGCAGAAGCTCAATTCCAGTTTACTTTCAACACTCAAAACAGCTTCTCTTCCCAGCCCAGACATACAGCATGGCTGCTCTCGCTAACGCTGCTGTGCTCCCCTCCACCTTCGTCGGCCAGAGCGCTGAGCTCGCCGCCAAGGTGAACAATGTCGAGGCCCGCGTGACGATGAGGAAGACCGCCAAGGCGGCTTCCAGCAGCGCCTTCTACGGCCCCGACCGCAACCTGTTCCTGGGCCCCTTCTCTTCCCCCCCATCGTACCTCACCGGCGAGTACCCCGGCGACTACGGCTGGGACACGGCGGGTCTGTCCGCTGATCCCGAGACCTTTGCCAAGAACCGCGAGCTTGAGGTAAGGCTACCAGATTTGCTAACGACACAAAGGAGGTACATTACGTACGCAAGAACATTCATCGCTAAAAGGACCAACCATGAGATGTTTCACCCTGTTAGTGTACAGAAATTACCAAATGCTATCATCTTTGCTGCTTTGCAACGCTCGCTGTTTTAAGGTTCTGACGATTTTTTTCTCTTCCTTCACCTGTTTCTAAATATCCAGGTGATCCACGCTCGGTGGGCTCTGCTCGGCGCGCTCGGCTGCCTGACCCCCGAGCTGCTGGCCGGCAACGGCGTGAACTTCGGCGAGGCCGTGTGGTTCAAGGCCGGCGCGCAGATCTTCTCCGAGGGTGGTTTGGACTACCTGGGCAACCCCAGTCTGATCCACGCGCAGTCCATCCTGGCCATCTGGGCCACCCAGGTCATCCTCATGGGTGCCGTCGAGAGCTACCGCGTGGGTGGCCTTGAGGGCTTCCAAGAGGTTGAGGACCCCCTGTACCCCGGCGGTGCCTTCGACCCCCTGGGTCTGGCCGACGACCCCGATGCGCTTGCGGAGCTGAAGGTGAAGGAGCTGAAGAACGGCCGCCTCGCCATGGTGTCGATGTTCGGCTTCTTCGTGCAGGCCATCGTCACCGGCAAGGGCCCCCTGGAGAACCTGTCCGACCACCTGGCTGACCCCACCGTCAACAACGCGTGGGCCTATGCCACCAACTTCACCCCCGGTGCTTAGATAATTATTCCCTGTACATTTTTCCCCTTTTTACTAATAAAAGCGACTCTCTGCAACTACTTTAGAAAAGAGAACTTATTGCTTTTTCGGCGCTATTTATTAGTGGGAGTCGGAAACACAAGTATCGCCACAGACGCGTTGCTGACAGTAGCATCCTACGCGAGTGGCTCTATCAGAACAGTGATCGGTCAAGACGACGTCTTCGCTAAAGAAAATATTTGTTCGCCTGGTACTTCAAAACCGTAAGTGAAGAGCAAATCATGCACGCAGGTTTCTCTAACTGAAACTGGAGTTGTTGCCGAAGGGCTCAAAATTGAAGGATACGGTGGATGTTGAATAGAAAAGTCCCAAGGTAAAAAACAGTTTTTCTTCATATTGAAAGCCTACTACCGACTAAGTTTCTCAGGTTCACAACAAAAAAACAGATATACACCGCACGCACAAGCCCATAGACAGCAACCCAAATGGCTATATTATCTACACTAAAATGCAGACATGATGAGCCTGAGATACAGCCACAAAGCAAAGCCCACTTTTATATAGAAGAGCAGTGGCGTGCACCCATGTAACAGCATTCATGTTATCGAGAAAGTAGCACCCAACAAAGTCTTGATGATGAGCCTGCTGAATTTCAAGGATATTGTGTTGCTACCCGGCCTTACCTTATCTGGCCCTTAGCTGGTGCCCCTTCTGCCTCTGCACCAAAAGGAAAAGAGTAGAAGAATAGAATGAAAACACAATGGGCAGATGGTCATAGCATGTCCGCTCAAGACAGGTGGGGAAAGAGCAAGGAACCAGGGTGGCATAACATGTGGCTTGTGGATACCTGCAGATTTCTGCAGGCGGTTGGGATCATTGACATACAAACTCACCATTCTTGCTGAATTGACGAACCCCCCATGCGGCGAGTTTGAATGATTGTGCGCTCCTGAGGCAATCCAAACTGGGGCAATCCGATGCAGTTGTTGCTCCTCATCACGTATCCGTTCTTGCAGCGACACATAGGCGTGCCGGCCACCACTGCACACTCGGCGTTGCGAGGGCAGGTGGGCTTGCACACAGCTGCAAAACAGAAATAGGGAGGTTACAGGAGAGAAGAGGGGGGAAAGTGGAGAGTGTTGAGGTAGACTCAAAACAGACCTCAGACGTGACATAAGAGGAGCGCAATAGGGGAAAGACTGAAGAAGGGCAGACACAATGCAAGGGCATTGAGTCAAGGCGGTTGTGAGAGTGGGTTAGGGGTACAATGGAAGCGCGAATCGTGTAAAATGCCAACAAGCACAAGTAAGACAAACTCTGATCTAGCTGAATATTGCCCACCCCCTTACCAGTGCAGAGGCCGTTCTTCTTGACGTAGCCAGGGCTACACTTGCAGCTCCCTGTACCGTTCTTAACCGCGCAAAACGCATTCGACGGACACGTAATTGCTGTACAGGGATCCCTGGCTGCCATGGAGTCTGTGGGGAGAAGCAAGAGAGGGAGAAGCAAAAACAAGAGAAGAGAAACACGAGTGAGGCGAGAGGGTTACAAGGAAGAGTGAGAGAGTCACAAGTATTTGTCGCACAGGAGTTTGGGTCTGGCAGGGGGTCTGAGGGTGAGATGAAAGGTAGTGACAGGCAAGGGCATGAGGAGGAAGTGGTAGAGAAGAGTGAAAGGCGAGTGTCTGGCAAGCAAGCGGGTGAGGAGGAGGAGGGAGAGAAGGAAGAGGAAGGAAAGGAGCAGCAAGGTGAACCGGTGGAGGTAAGAGATAGGCAGAGAAGCAAGGGTTGACGGGTGACTGCAGAGTGGCTGGGCACACGCACTGCAGCGACGAGAGGAGAGAGAACAAAACAAAAATCTACTCCAGTATACTGTGCACTTACCTTCGTTAATGGAGGCCGGGCCATCAAGGCAGCGCCTGGCCTTCACATCGAAGACAAGAGACCCAGGGCACACGCACTCATCCTTCCTGTTCCGCACGATGCACCTAGCAGCGGACCCGCAGTCGGCAGCGCAGCCTGTTGGGAGGAGCAGGGCGCAGAGGCAGGGAGCAGGGACAGAAGTGGGAAGAAGAGAAATGAATTTAAACCTGACGCCGAAGACGAGAGAACCAGGGCACTAGGATTCGCCCTTGAGGCTCCTCAATCTGCACTTGGCAGTGGACCCGCAGTCCGCAGCGCAGCGTTTGGCCCAAAGGACAAGTATGGGGGACTCTTAGAGGCAAGGGGGGGACAATAGTCGGAAGGTGCAGGAGGAGAAGAATGAGACAGCGAATTACATTCATGGTTCAATCCAAACCGTTCAGATCCGTCAGAGTCGATTTAGCACCTGGCCGCTGGCATGGGGAGAACAGTGCCGCATGCAAACGACAAGGCAAATCATTCGCAGCAGCACAACGAAAAGAGTAATGTGGTGGCTGATGCATGAGAGGGTTGCCGTGTGGGATGCCGATGAAGCTCAAATTCGACCTTCCAGCTGGACATTGCACACTCCGTACACCGCATCGTAACGCACCACGCCGCACCGCACCATGCACCAAGCTCTGAGTAGTCATAGGCGCAGTGCAGGCAGTAGAGCAGGCGGGCCTTCGCACGAAAAATGCCCTTACCATGGGCAGGCGTGTCAAACCTTGCAAGTCAATCTCGCAACTTACCCTCCTCGCATCTCGCTGACGCTGGCAAGTCGGCGGCAGAGAGCATCCTGAAAGCAAAAGAAGCCATGGTGGCGGCAGGGAATATTACGAGGGAGCAGAAGAAGCGATGAGATCTGATACAAGCCGATATTCAGCTCCCCAAGCAACAGAATCGAATGAATTAAACTGATAAATCTGAACGGATTGAATTGAACCGTTGAGAAGGAAGATTCGAGGTGTGGGCTCACCACGTGGTGGGAACGTGAGTGATGTTCCACGGAGGGCGCAGGTACGTCATGTAGGGGCGTCCCGCGCAGCCCGGCGCGGAGTGGAAGGAGATGCTGCTGCACTTGTGGTCCGCGCGCTCGAAACCGTCCCACGCAATCTCCGCGCTGACTTTACTCCCATTCGCGAACACGCTGCGATCCACGTCGTCGCACAACGCGTTGTAGAAAATCAGGCTGGCGTTATCCGTTGTTCTCATTGGGCCTTTGAATGCGACCACGGAGTCGTACACGACAGAGGCGCTGGCTTCTGCGGAAGGGAGGAGAAAGACTGCGGCAATGAGGGCGGCAGCCGCGAGGATTGCGGCGAGGCCGGCTTGAAGCGCGGGACGAGACGCGCGGCGCGGCGCCATGGCGACGAGAGATGTGATTGGCGAGGGAAGCTGAGGCTGCGGCGCGCTGCACCGATGTGACCACGTGTTGAAGTCCGCAGTAGGCTAGCCCGACGGTGGACCACGGAAGCGGCGGCGGGTTTCAGGATCCTGAATAAGTCTCGAGAAGGAGAGGAATTCGTGTGGAATGGCGCGTGCTACTTCTAGTTGTTTGAGTGTGAGAGAGCGAGAAGGAGAGGAATTCGTGTGGAATGGCGAGGTATGGTGAACACAGGGTAGGGGAGAAATATGTAAGGAGCTATCGCCGCCGCGATAGCTGAGGGAGGGACGAGAATGGGAGCGGGAAGGGAGCGTGAAGGAGGCACTGAGGGGAAGCCAATTCCGAATGTGACGGTGGTGTGGAAGTACATTTGATTTGTCCGAACGCGATACTGGAACGCGGTACCTCTTGGGCGCCAATAGCAGCCAAGAACTTGCGGCGAATTGCATTATTGCCAGGGCAGGTTCGCGAAAAGTGCTTGACTAGTAGAATTCGAATTCCGCCAATGTCTCGTTTTGTGACCCTGTTTCACGAACATTGCATTTCTCCCCATGTTGACTGGTATGGATAGATCTCCGACGATGTGACTTGGTTACACGGGCCAGTCGCCAAAATGCACTTGACGATTCCTCCAGCACTCGTTTTCCCACTTCGATACAATCCAGAAACCAAATTTAGGCGAACTAGTCGGAAAGCATGTATGAATACTGTTATGAGTTGTAAAACAGAGTTGCGCGGAATAACGAATAACGAGGCTCCGACAATATAGACTGACGATGCACTGAATAACGCGAGATAAAAAAATCAGGAAAACGCATATCATCTGGAACCTCGGGAACTCGAGGTTGGGTGCAGGTCAAGCAGCAAAAAGCTGAAAGCGACGCCTCTGTAACGATGGAATCGACTGAATGTGGGAAAACCCTTCACTGCCAGAAATGTAGTAAAGAAATGTCGTAAATATCAGCGACACGCTTACAGGCGATATAGTCGCAAAGCAGCGAAGGAAGGGCTGGCTTTTGTAAAAGAAATGAAGGAAAGAAAGAAACCAAAGAAAAACATTATGCTTTTTCGTTTTCCCCATGATTTTTTTTCTTAGTCTAAGAAATGGATACATGATTTCTCAGGAACCAGAGAAGTATAACTCTGATCATCTGAGATAAGAAACTACTATCATACTAATGCAGGATTCACTAACGAGAACCCACCGATATGAATTTCGTACAGTCATCGCCCATATAGTAGACAGTGTTGAATAGTAGACAGCGGCTGTCTACTATCCGGCATTACAAGACACTGTCAAATGTTGTAGTCTTAATAATGTGTGTTATAGAGGGTACAACTGTTAGGGTTAGGTTGATGTACCCCAACCAACCTTAATCAAACCAACACTTACATTCTTGACATGGTATCACCTATGTTAGGATCTTGTGGGATCCCGTTCCTCTCGTTCACGTCCGTAGCGCCCGAGACTGTCCCGTATGTTAGTGCCTGTTACGCTCGTACTGTCCCCGAGCGCCCACAGCGCCTGCCGTTACGTCGTTCTCGTGCCCTAGTGAGGAAAGTAGAACGAGAATGAAGAGGACTGCACTAGCAAGAATGGGGATACAAATAGGAAACCCTAGAAGGGTTGTACTCGCTATAGGTCACCCCACTACAGGCTAGAGCATAAGATAACATTCTGACACACCCCCATAGCCAAAGTGGGGTGTAATCAGCAGAGCAAGCAAAGCAGTACAAGCTCAGGGTGGATCACAATGTCACCACACATTCTGAGCACAAGTTCAAGAACCAATAGTTTAAAGTTAACAATTATGAGCAAAACTAGTGGTAGTCACAACGGGCAAGTGAGGAGGAGGAGAGAGAGTGAGAGGAGAGGAGATAGGAGGCGACGGATGAAGCTGCAGACACACGGGCAACAGGAGGCACACTGGCACAGCGGCTACCGGAACAACGCTCCGGAATACTGGAGTAACTGGCCCCGCGGCTAAAGTAGCGGCAGACGAGCAACGGACCCACTGTCAGGCTTAGGAGGAGGAGGAGGAGGAGGTGTCAGATGATTATATTGCTGATGCATATATGTAGGCTGTAGTGGGGTAGCCCATAGGGGGTACAACCCAATTAGGGTTGGTACTTGTACTTGTTTCATTTCATAGTGCACTCATTCCTCGCCTCTATCTCAACATGGTATCGAGCAGGTTCCCTAGTGGGAACTGTTCCTAGGGCCCACCTACTATTCCGTCCTGCCCGGAGCGCGCTCTGCCCTAGCCCGAGTCGCGCTGGGCCTTTTTTTCCTTTGGCGGCCCGATCGCGTCGAGCCGCCCGCGATTTTTTTACGCGCCACCTACGCGGCCTCGTCGCGCCGCCCCTAGACGGCCGCGCCGCGTCGCGCGTGCCGCCCTCCAGTCGCGCGCCGCCCCCCCTCTGACCCTCGCGACGCCGGCGCCGTCTCTGACGGCCCCGCGATCGCCTGCGACGGCCCCGCCGTCCCCTCTACCGGCCCCTCCGCTGCGCTTGACGGCCCCGCCGTCCCCTCTGCCGGCCCCGCCGCTGCGCTTGACGGCCCCGCCGTCCCCTCTGCCTGCCCCCCCGCTGCACCCGACGGCCCCGCTGTCCCCTCTGCCGGCCCCGCCGCTGTACCTAACGGCCCCGCCGCTGCACCTGACGGCCCCGCCGTCCCCTCTGACGGCCCCGCCGCTGCACCTAACGGCCCCGCCGTCCCCTCTGACGGCCCCGCCACTGCACCTACCGGCCCCGCCGCTACCCCTGACGGCCCCGCTGCTGCATCTGCAGGCCCCGCCGTCTCACCTGCCGGCCCCGCTGCTGTACCTGACGGCCCCGCCGCTTCACCTACCGGCCCCGCCACTACCCCTAACGGCCCCGCAGCTGCATCTCCCGGCCCCGCCGCCCCAGCAACTGCGCCGCCCCAGCAGCCGAGCCGCCCCAGCAGCCAAGCCGCCCCAGCAACCGAGCCGCCCCAGCAGCCGAGCCGCCCCAGCAGCCGAGCCGCCCCAGCAGCTGAGCCGCCCGAGCCGCCCGAGCCGCCGAGCTGCCCGAGCCGCCCAGCAGCCGACCCGCCATGCCGCCCGAGCCGCCCGAGCCGCCCGAGCCGCCCGAGCCGCCCGAGCCGCCTGCACTGCCCTGTCTGGTGAGCACTGAGCTTTACTCTGCGCACTGCCCTTACCCCACTGCTGTCATGGCTACCCCCAGTGTCCTCACCTTCGACGCTGAGGGCAGAGCCATCGACTTTGACGTGTGGGTAGACGACCTGCTGCTTTTCCTACAGTGCGACAGAGCTGACGGCCTCTCTCTCTTTGATCTCACTTCTGGTGCCTCTCCCGCCCCTGCTGCTACTGAGGATGCCACTGTTCGCTCACAGTGGGCCACACACGATGCTGCTGCACGTCTTTCTGTGCGTCGCCACCTCCCTCCCTCTGAGCGTGCACACTTTGGGTCGTACAAGAGTGCTCAGACCTTGTGCACTAGTGACGCTCGCTTCCGCGCTGCGCTTCCTGCTGAGTTCTGCGCCAAGAACCCCCCCCCCCAGTACTTCACTCTCTACTACATTGTCACCCGCCTCCCTGACTCCCTCCGCGGAGTCAGGGACGACTTACTCTCAGTCTGCCCCACCACTCTCACTGTTAACCTCCTCGAGAAGTCCCTCCTAGCAGCCGAGAAGAGCATTCTCGCTGTAGGGGCCTCTCGTGGTGACCCGCGCACCCCCATCTTTGAGGGGTGTTCCCCCTCCCCCCTCCTGCCCTCTGTCGCCTCTGCTGCTACGGCCGACCTAGTTGGTTTTGAGTCGATCGGTGCGGCGTCTGCCCCCAGTGGGAGACGTCGCTCTGGCAAGGGCAAAGGGGGCAGGAGCGGTGGTGGAGGCGGCGGGGGCGGTGGGAGCGGCGGTGGAGGCAGCGGAGGAGGTGGGGGTGGTAGCGGGAGTGGTGTCGGGAGTGGAGGTGTCAGCGGCGGCAGTGGAGGCGGGGGTGGCAGCGGCGGTGGTGGTGGGAGTGGAGGCGGAGGCGGCGGTGGCGGCAGTGACGGTGGGAGTGGCGGTGGCAGCGGAGGTGGTGGCGGCGGCGGCGGAGGAGGCGGTGGAGGAGGTCGTGGCTCGTCGCAGAGGAGTGGCTCCGGTGGCGGTCAGCGCCAACAGCAGCGGCAGCAGCGTGGTCAGGAGACCCTCTCCCCGCAGCAGCTCCGTGAGTGGTACGCTGCACGTTAGAGGGGTGGGGGTACTGGTCCGTGCACCTACGTCTTGCGCACGGGCGACCGTGCGGGTGAGCCGTGTGGTGGTCCACACCCCGCCCAGCGCTGCTTCGGCCGCCTGACTGACGCTTGGCGCCGCCAGTTTCCTGACGCCTCTGAGATCCCTCGCTGGGACCAGCCGTCTAGGGCAGGAGTAGCTATCTTTGATCTTGACTTTGATGCTATTCTTGCTGCCATGTATGCTGTGACTATTAGTGAGGAGGGTGACTGTTACCGGTGTTTCCCGCCTGACCCGGGCATTGGTACTGCGGCTCTAGGTGCTGTTGAGGCTGCTGCTCCAGGTGCTGGTGAGGCTGTCGCTCTAGGTGCCAGTGAGTCTGTGTCCTCAGGTGCTGGTGAGTCTGCTCTCTCAGGTACTGCGTCGGCTCCGCCCTCTCTCACCTTCACTCTTGACTCAGGGGTGTCTCGCTCCTTCTTTCGAGACCGCACCACACTCACGCCGCTTAGTCGGCCAGTGGCGGTCTCCCTGGCGGACCCCTCTGGGGGTCCTGTTCTGGCTCGCTACTCCACTGTCCTGCCGTGCCCTGCGGTCCCGTCTGGCGCCCTGTCCGGTCTCTACCTCCCCTCGTTCTCTACGAACTTGGTGGCGGGTGCTGACCTACAGGATGCAGGGGTCGACCAGTTCACCCCTGCACGCCGACGGGACACCCACTGCACGGACGCGGACACGGGTCGACACTTGACCACGTTCACACGTGGGCCGGGGTCGAGCCTGTACACA